GGGGGTGAGGGTTGAAAAAATTTTTTTTTACCAAATGGGGGTGGTTAGCTGTTCTTGAGGGTAAGAGTGACCTGTGTGTGAAATTTGGTTACCCAAATCGTATTGGTTACGGAATTATTAATGTTTTAAGTTTATTGCTGGGATTTATGGATAACTTCACACCAGTCCTCGACCAGCACGTCGGATTCGTTTTGACAATGCTGAATGTTGGCTTGAATGAACCCTACTTTCGCCATTACTTTTTAGCGGATGCAGTATTGGGAACTGCAGTTTTGGCCCTTATCCTTCTTTTCGGACCTTACCTTTCCTGTACCCTTCTTGGGGTCCTTGGAGGTTTCGGAAGTTTCTGGCTTGGGTTCGGGTTCTTTCTTCCTTCGACGTACGGGTAAACCCGAATGTTTCTAGTTTTAGGTCTAGTTCTATAATTGTTATTAAGTACCAAAGTATACCATATTTTAATAATTCAACCTCGTTTCTGAAGAAATTTGCAACAAAACATCCAAAACGTCAAATACTTCTTCAAATGATGCACCGCTTTATCCGAAAATTTCTAAATCTAGCATTAATTTTACTTTTAAATTATTATTTAGTTATTAATTAATTAATCTTTTAGTCGAGTTTTGGCTGAATCATCGCCTTACTACGAATCTCTAAAATCGCGCAACCAAGAAGTTTTATTCTGTTATGAACCTTACGATGAATTGGTGTTAATGACACTTCAACAATTTAATGGTTATAAAGTAGTTTCTGCAGAAAAAGATATGCGCGATGATAAAAAAGCGGCGGATTTAACGAATTTAGGCGCTGATAGTTTGAAGCGGAGTGAAATTGATAGTCTAACGAAATGGATAAAAGCTCAGTTGAACGGAAGAGCAAGTAGTGTTAGCGCTACTAATAGGCTTGAAAATCACCCTTGTGTAGTCACCGTTGAAGAAATGGCAGCTGCGAGACATTTTATTAGAACGCAAAGTCATCAAGTACCGGAAGATAAACGCTATGCTTTGTTGCAACCTCAATTTGAGATTAATCCAAAGTAAGTGTTCAAATTAAAAAAAAAAACTTGTTTAATTTTTTATTTTTAGGCACCCAATCATTAAAAAATTACATAAATTATCGCAATCTGATATAGAATTAGCCAGTTTATTAGCAAAACAGTTATTTGCAAACGCAATGGTTGGTGCAGGACTTGTTGATGATCCAAGATTGATTCTAACCTCAATGAATGAACTCTTAACGAAATGTTTAGAGAAATATTAATTTGCTTAAAATTTATAGTTTTTTTTTTCTAAGTGATGTTTTTGTATATATAGTTTTTTGAAAATAATTAGTCAATAATAACATTTATTTATTTATTTTATTTTAACAATACATTTTGTTCAACTTGATGATGTCAATTTCACTCATCACTTCCGCTAATCCAAGATGACCAATCCATGCATCGTTCTAAAAGACATTAAAAATAATTTAAAATTAAAATATTAATTATAGGGATAATTGGACCGCGTTATGCATCACTTGACTAAGCGACAAATGAACAATGTTGAGAAAAACGGGATTTTCGTTTTCATCTCTCTACAAATATGACTTCTCAGAATAGACAGGCTCAAACTATTGAAAATTGTTTGGTGCCTATCTATTTTTATCACAGAACACTGATGATAACCATTACAAGCACAGAATCCGCTTGGTCAGTTGTTTTGCGATTATACAGGATGTTTCTGTAAGTCGTGGCATAAATTTAATCACAAATACTAGAGTCAAAATGATGTTTGTGCAAAAATTTTTGAAGAAAATTATCTAGAGTTTGATTTTGTACTTTTCAACTGGTTTCTATTTTATATAGAAGTTAAGTATAACTAGTTTCGGCCCTTGACAACCTTCAGAGACTACAAATAATATACAATGATGCCTCGCATAAAGAACGCCTCGCACAGCGAACGCTGCACACAACGAACTTCCTGTTCGTTCATTTCATGATTCATACAACGAACTTCGCTTCACACAACGAAGTCGCCCGAGCTTCGCGGAGGCGCTGCAGGCAGTCGTTAGTCA